ATATATAGTTAAAAAATACACTAAATAATTCATTTTTAAATTGCGTTGTAAAATGTTTAGTTATTTATAAAAGCTTTCCATCAATTTTATATGATTAAATTAATTGATAATTATTAGAACTTTAACATGTATATAATTATATATATTAAAATATAAAATGTAATTAATTATTAAACAAGATGGTATTTATTAATACATGTCATATCATTGCTACTATAGGGCATAATACTGTCTACACTACCAAACATATCAATATCATTTACACTAACTACAACTATGGTTGCGCTACAACCAGTGCTTACTCTTCTCATAATACCCAAAAGTCATAGTTTTGTATGAGGTCAGTACAAAATTTCGTTAAAAATCAAATTTGGAAAAAATAATGCATTAAACGCACACAAAGCCAATCATATATTTTACGAAAAATATACAAAAACAAAGACTATGCATCTACTTCGTAAATATTGCCTCACACACCCCTTCATACAAAATCATTTAGTGAGTGAATAAGAATAAATAAATAATAAATGAATAAGAATGAATAATAGAAGGTATTAATAGGTGTTTCTCCGTTCACTCATCACCAAAAAGGTTATTTTCGTCTGTGTATGGGTGTGCTTCAATATGATATACATGCTTTATTTATTATTTTTGCTAAATGGCATGACATGTTATGTAGCAAAGAAGATAAAGAAAAGAAAGTGATAAGGCAAGGAAACAACATTATTGCCTCCAGTTTGACTAACGATATAAAACTCAAGGTCCGCCCGATGTTCCCACGGAAGAAGGGTAAGAAGCGTAATAACAACCCATGTGGCAAATAACGCAAACCTAAGCCTAAGGCTCGTAAGAAGAAAAAACGTTAAGGACAGAGAAGCGTAAATAAAAAATCTGACCTCGGTATTTATTGTTAAAAACTATACGCTATATATTTTGTTTGTACTATTCACTTTAAAACTATTTCAGACTGCCGCGGAATTGAGACCTACTAGTCCAGTCGTGAAAGTCCAATAAGTCCACTTACAACAACACAAGGCGGTTACTGTTAATAACCATACTATGTAAGCTATTCGATTTCAATATTTCATAAAAAATATAAGTGAGGCTTTATAAAGAAAAATAATCATTTGGTATTCTCCTCTCCAAATAAACTTATAGGATAAAACTATATTATACTTATGCCGTTGCGTAGGTAGAGTTATTGGTTCCCGTTATATTAAAGTTATGTTGTTTTTCATTTCGATGACTATCGTAGGTGTTTTTTTCTTAGAATTAAAAAATTGCAAAACAAAGGAACTCTACTTAAAGTCTGCCAATCTATTTAAGAACTTATCATCCCAAAAAGCTCGATAAAAATCGGTTTTAAAAATATAACGATCAGTTTACTATCTAAAAACTTTAGTAAATTGTTTACTAAACATTTCTTTGAAATATTTTGGGAGTAGTTTTTGCATTACAAATGTTAGGTAAACGCTTACAATTTATAAAACTCTATAAAGTCAACGACTTCTTGATATTCTATATCAGAAACAAAATCTTCAAGTTTGTTCTCTTCTCTGGGTTCACATTGGGAAAATGCAAACTATGGAACTAAAAACTCATTTTTCTAAAACAAAAAACAAATTTGTATAACAAAATAAAAATAGACCTTTTGTTATCCGGGACTATAAATATAGTTTACACAATAATTTAAATTTGTAATTGATTTGTAATATATAAATAAAAAATACATTTTATTATATATGTGCATATGATATAGTTAATAGTTTATAGTTATATATGAATAAGGTATTTCTTTGAAATTTTTCCTTAAAAGTATTTTCGCTTTTTCACTTCTTAGCAATTTGGTCTGCGCCTAGCTCAATGTTTTCCTCACTCTCGACTTCATTTGCTACATCTTTTTTATAATAAAGCTCCAAGACTTTTGACGCAATATACTCACCTATACCAATATAGTCAATGTTGTTGGTACAAATATTATTAGACGGAGTAATGGTGAGTTTAGGCATATGGTCAGATGCCATTACATTGGTGTTACTTTCAACTTTGTCATGTCTAACTTTTTCTGCAACAACAAATACAATTGTTCTAAACATATAACATATTCAAAATATTTCTTTTAATTCATTTTTCTTACTTTGTTTGCTCTTTTCCCAAATTTCTTTCCATTTCTCTGGCATCTGGCTCACATTGGCTTCGTTCGCTGATGTTTCATCATCATCATTAGATTCATCTTCAGTTTCATTATCTTTCTTCATTTCTTGGAGACATTGTGATTGAACAATTATTGTAAAAAGCTCAGATTATTAATATTACATACCTTGGTTTGTAAATAAATCTTCTATTTGATCAACAATCAAGTGTAGTATGGAACAAAAATCACCCACAGTTCTTTTTGGTTTCGGATCTGTTTGCGTACTGTTATCAATGCTACGAGAAACATTTGTCAGTTCGGTATCCATACTAGACGTTTCATCATCCATACTTGGCGGCATTAATTCTGCCGCGTCATTAATAGGAGTTGCTGAGCTTATAACTTTCAAGTACTCATCGAATGTCAAGAATTCTTGTTCGGGATACAGATCTGGATCTGGAAAGAGTTCTGCATCTGGAAACAGATCTGGATCTGGAAACAGATCTGGATCTGGAAACAAATCTGAATCTGGAAACTGATCTGCATCTGGAAGCAGATCTGGATCTGGATACAGATCTGCATCTGGAAACATATCTGGAAACTGAACACCTACATTATGTGATGGAATCAAATCACGTGTGCTGGTACCTCTTGTCATACGATTTTGTGCTTCGTGTCCACATTTTAAACATATTTTGGATTTCAATTTATCTCTTAAAGTAGTTATTTCGTTTCCATAAATCGATAACGTGTTATACAAAACAACAATTTCCCTTTTAAGATTTATTATCGTAGGTTCGCTTGCGACGGGCGCCAGTTCCATTATGTTGTGTTTCTTGTTTTTTGTTTTCCGCCTGAAAAAGTTTCTATATTACAAAAGAAATTATATTAATTGTGCATATAACCATTTAACTTCAAAATCTTTATAATAATATAAATTCTAAACACTTAAACACTTATACACTTGAACACTTCATTATATTTTCTAATAATTTACCTTAGCAAATTTCGCTCCTAACCTTTACCGATGGAGATCCCGTTATAAAAGAATATGAAACACAAGTTGCCAATTTCGTCACACTGGTTTCTAAAGTTTTACAGACTCTTATGTCGACTTTGACGGTCAATCACGCTGTATGCTTATATGCATCATTCTAGCTCGTTTGTTTATTCCTTATACCAAAGAAGATAAAGAAAAGAAACTGATCGGAAATTTTGAATAATTGTGCCTCTTTGTGTAATATCGGAAAAAAATCTCTCTTACTTATTCACCACACCAGAATTGTCAAATATTAAAATCGGTGTGGTTTATAGCCTAAATATTTTATACTCTTGTGGAACATATTAGCATGTCGCCATTTCTTCTAATAAGAAGAAATAGCATAAATTATTGTTATTGGAAAATCCATTGTGTATATTAATTTATTAATTTCATTATAATGAAATTTTAAATTTGCTTTATAAATCAAATGTAAAGTAAAAACAAGTCAACTAAAATCAGTAGTGCCTTAATTATTATTGATATATGCAAATATATATAATTAGTCATAAAAGTGTTTTGACGAAGTGTAAAAATTGTGTAATATTTGTTAAAAAAATAATTTTTCATCATTCATATATATTTATATACATATGTTATATTCTGCTTAAAAAATACATTTATAGCAAAAGTTAGTATCTATTAGAGAAGTTAGTACGTGTATATATATATCGAGTTTAAGATTATATTATATTAATCTTCTGTTTTGAAACGATTAATATTAATATAAATTTTTAATATTCAAAAATTTTTACAAATAATAATACACAATAAATTTTTTAAATGAAGAAATGTTTTTGTATATGCGCCAAATCAACGCTCTATTGTGAAAGAGGCATTATATTAAAAATAGAGCGAGAGAACGAAGCATATTCCTCTGGTGAATCGTTGCATTACCAGGGGTCGGAATATGCACTAATAACTCCAATATGCGGTTGAATTTCTTTATTTCTCCTTTATTTTGATTTTCTCTTGTTCAAAAATAATGGAACTAATGGAATGCACCAATAAATTTTGTACAAAAAAGAATTGAGAAATTTATATATTCTAAGTGGCAATTTAGCTCATCCTCACGGACTACTCATTTCACTAGTTCCTTTGGACTACTTTCGTGTACTAGTGCCTAGCGACAATTGTCTCCTAAAGAACAGCTGGGTATGGTGAAAATATTTATCAAGTTAAAAACTCAACACTACTGTAGAATTTAATAAAGCACTGTTTTAAAGGTATTTGTTGGCTGTTATATTCTGTGTTTGAGGGTTATATAAATATTTAACTAATAATAAAATTTTTCCAAATGGTACAATATTCTAGAAAATTTCGGTATATATAAGTAATAAAAAATAATTAGTACGATGTTGTGAAATTAACAAAAATAAATTGCATATAAAAACTGTATTATGTTCTGTAAATTGCATAACATGTGACACTATATCATCTATTCTTCAAAACTCTATAAGAATAATGTTTTTTTTTTGTAGTTTCACTCTGTATATTAACGAAAATATTATTTCTTGAAAATTTTTTAGAAAAAAAGCCCTGTGTTTTCCAGCAACGTTACTAACGTTGCTAACGTTGCCCCGGTAAATGCTTATCGAAGGCGTTCGTAACCTGTCGTGCTTGTGTGATGGCGGAAGCGGGGTGTCTTTAATAAGAAAACTTATTAAAATTCGTGGTATATGTGATTTGCGATGTGATATTAAATTGTTTAGTCGTATTACAAAAATAGATTTAAAAAATATATTTGTAATAAAATATGTCAATTATGGCGAATGTGATACGTTAAAATCATTTTTTTTTTGTTTGTCAAAATTTCTATAGAACTGACGCCGCAAATATCACCATTTCTAGAAACTAACTGTTAACTGTTAATTTTTTTAAAGTGAATTAATCATGTTTGTGCGCGATCCGTGCGGCATTGTATGCCTTATTATTACCTACGGTGCGATCTTCTATGCGGACTATATTGTAGTTATGCAGACAATGCAGGCCAGGTATTTTCTTATTAGAATATTACTTCCATAATTATGTTGGTTAATGCAATTTTTTCTCCAATTAGTATATGGGCGCCACTGCATGTTCAACACAGTCGTTTTCCTACACCTCAAGGCAGTTCTTTCGGATCTTGGCACAGTACCATTGCCTGCAAATCGCTTTGACTTCTCGGACCTGCATACTACTGGTAAAAATAATGGTGCAAATGGACATAATGAATGGACTGTATGCACACGTTGTGAAACCTATAGACCACCACGTGCGCATCATTGCAGGATTTGCAAAAGGTGCATACGACGCATGGATCATCATTGTCCATGGATAAATAATTGTGTAGGTGAGCGCAACCAGAAATTCTTTCTGCAATTTCTAGTTTATGTTGGTCTCTTATCATTGTACTCGGCGGCGCTCGTTGTCGGGTCCTGGATATATCCTTGTGAGGAATGTAACGCAAATGTGATTGAATCCCAAACAAGAATGTAAGTATGTCGAATTACTGTTTTATACCAGAATAGCACATTACATAGTTTTTTGAGGAATTTTTAACTTATATTTTTTGCTTTCCTACATACAATTTTTTCTTATATGCAAATTTATCGAAGCGGGTGTTATCGATGACTCTAGCGCCAAATACGACGCTATTTAACGGGACTTTTTTGTGCATGCTGTACATTTTCGCATAGAGATTCGTGTAAAAAGAATTTTGCGTGTAATTTTTTGGGAATAAAATTTGTTAGTTTTATTTTGATTTGCATTTATATAAAATATTCATCAGTGAGTCTCAATTATTATTATAATTAAGACTTAAAACTTATTGCGAATGATTTAATCATTTTCTATATTCTAATTAATCTTCATTACAGCAAAAAGTTTGTTTTATAAGTAAAATCCTGCAACATTAACGTTGTATGCTTTTTATAAAAAAAAACACTTAAGAGTATTTAGAGCTCCTTTGAGACCCTGTCCATAATACATCGCGTGATGCAAATGCTTATTTTTAAACACTTTTAAGTTAAAAATATGCATACAGCTTTAGTGAAGAGTTAATTCAGGCATTAAAATGAAAACCTAGAGAATTTGAAAAAACTAAACAAACATTTAAAATTGCAGCAATATTACTTAAAATGATTTATTTAAAATGATTGTACGGATGTGAATATAAGTTATTATTAATGTATATCTATATAAACGGAAAGGAACGGTCTGCATATATAGATCGTATATATATTTTCCGCCTTGATCCTGGTTGACTTCAATTTAAATTCCTCTATCCATCAGCCCTCAATCCATTTTCACTCTTAGATACTCCTCTTCCCTTGCATACAACCTATATCTATTCACATTTTAACCCATGTATTCGCCTGATCTGCTTGTGTCCGGAAAGAACATTTTAAATAACTGCGACAAAGAACAATTTTGTTTATTTTGTTTTGTATTTGTTTTTTTTTTTTGTTTTGTATTTGTTTTATTTTTGTTTTGTATTTATTTTTTTTTGTATTTATAATTTTTAATTTTGTATTTACATATTTTGTTTTTGTATTATTTTTTTTTGTTGTAATTATTTTTTGTGTATTTATTTTCTTTT